ATCGCCATCGAAAGGTTTAATTATATAATATTAGTTTAATAAGGGTCGAAAAGTCGTAAGGTCCGGTATAGTATTCGGCCTTACGAGGTTAGGTTATCGACGAGAGCGTCGACTTCGGTTTGCTTAGTAATTTAAACGTTAAAAGAGCTTATAACCTGTTGGGCTGGTGACCTAGGAAAATCACTGGCTGCGAAAATGAGGCCAAAATTGGCCAGAAAAAAATAGTAAACAAATTGGTATTACAGTAGTTGGTTGTTGGTTAAAAAGTAAACAGTAAGAAAATCCAGCCCCAAGAGCAAACCGGTGTGGGTCTGGGAAAACCTGGGCCCTTTGGTGCCCCACAGGAAGTGATTCGAATATCTCATGGTAAGGTACCTTAGGTACCTATGCTTAGTACTAACTGCCATCTCAAGTCGCGAGCATTCTGAGGGCATTGACCAAGTTGGCTCTACTATGAAATCTGTAGGCACCTACGACCCAATTTCTTCAAAGCTAGGGCAGTGAATCTCAAACAGCTGCAAGTCCTGTGAGTCTGTGGCAGCTGGCTGGCCTCCTCCTCAACTCTACATGTAACATTCCATTCGATGTTGGTGGTGTATACCAAGTGGCGCCACCATGGATCTCAGCAAGCAGTCAGGGATGATTGCTGACAACCAAACAGTTGCTTTGAGTCTAGCGTTCCTTTGTGCATTCCAACCAGCCTTGGCTTTTGTCAACGGTTGAACAACGCACACGATGAAAGGCACATCGGAGCCTTGAAGAAATCCCACTTACCATCTTGCTCATTGGTGCACACATACTTGGTGGGAATGGATTGCGAAATACTGTTGGCAATGGCCTTGGGATGTCCTCGTAAGTGTGATAGGATCGAATAAAGAACAAGATTTTAATATCACTTTCGGCCAATCCACAGCGACCCTTTGTTCGCATGGTAGATAAATAGAGAGGATAGGCTCTGATCCCCAGATTCTTTGAAGCCCATGACACTGCATCCAAGTCAAGGATTCAACATTAACCAGAACTTCAACGTCCCTCTCGTCCGTCACAACAAAGCTAGGAAGTTGGGAAACATAGACAACGGAGGCAGTTCAGATGGTAGCACTGGTGGCACTGGTCCACATGAAAATTGGGTGGGTAGTGGAGAAGAAGGCGAACGTCTAGGTCCAAAGATGATGGCGAAAAGAGAGGCAAAAAAGCAGGCAAAGGGACAGGAGGATAAAACTCCCGCGAACCAAGATGCAGGAACATCCGACGGAAACTCAAGCCAAAAATAAGGTAGAGTGAGTTAGGTATTGGTGTATGGAATGCTGAACAAGAGTGGAGTTCAGCATAGGGTCAGAGAGCCATTCAGGGGTTCAGAGGGGCATATTGTGGATGCCCTTACAGCGCAAATTGCCTTACCTTACCTACTTGAAAATGGACTTGGTTTCTAAAAAGCAGCCATATTCAACAACCTGACCTTTGCATTTATGAATGTGGACTTTGCCAGGATGAATGATGAGGTACCTATTTAACCGACCTGCCGCCGCAGCTAAGCCTGACTGCCCAACCCCCTGGTAATTGATCTGTCGCCTTTGTGATTCATGACAGCTCATCATAGTAGCCGTGTCTGAGCCCAAGAGTCAAGCCTGAATGTGCATTTTGGTGAGATATACTATTTTCGTAAGCAAGCTCACCGAACTGCCTCCACGTTTATTACCTTGGCAGGACTGCCTGTCTTCCCACTTTTATTAAAGGGGCGCGCACAGGTCCAGCTGCACGTGCATTTGTTGGTCACACACACACAGGCAAAGGCCACCCACAATTCGTGTGGCGGGAGGCGGTGCAGCCCATGTTGCCTCCTCAGCTTGACAGAAACTGCATCTAAGTAGGACTCTGCCTTAACCGCTGAGGCTCTCGAATTTCGCGCGTCGGCAACTCTCCTCATCAATACCATAATGACCAGGCTGCCCCCGTTCACCATCACCAGCAGCTCATATCTATCGCGTCAGAACCAGAATAAAACATGCCACTGTGCCGGTGCCAGAATGTTGACTTGAAGCCGAACTGCCGGTCGTCGCTGAACTGTGCTGTCTGGCACGATAAAGAACTCTATTGTGAGGGGTGTCGCGTATGACCTGCCCATTCCATCCAGCTTCATCCATCATCTCGCGTTTTTGATCAACCCTGAATGTTTTTATTATATCCGACGTAATGTTATTGAAAGATACATAAGAATCGTTTCTAACAGCTACACAGGACAACAGATGCCAGTTCAACAAGTCACCCGTCTCTCCCAGAGGCGGATTTGATGGATATCGGGGCAATGTCACCCCCATTCGCCAACTACAGCCGTGACATGCTGGTGGGCCATGTGAACCTCGTCAAGGGTGCGGGCACCGCAGGACTATCAGATTGGATTCCAGTCCTACATCGAGGCTATGGCAGCTATTGCGCTGGGAAAGGCCTCTGCATCCGAGGTGGTGGAGCGGTTGGATCAGGCCATGAGAGAGCATGAAGCGGAAAGACAGAGAGACTTGACAATGAAGGATGGTGATAAGAAATGAAGGTGCACGGATGTCTTGATAGAGTCGTCACTGGGGTTTCTTTGGGAATGGAGTTGTGTTTATTTCAGAGGTGTGTTGATGAAGATTGTACACTGGCTTTTCTTCTCTACGTTGACGATTCATGACACTTTCTTTCACGCGTGATCCTCTTTCTTATAACTTATGACTGGTAGGCTTAAAGCTGCACATCCTGGCTCCACAAACAAGTCTTGTTTATTCAGAGTTTTATAAGTAGTCAGTTGGGAATAGCTGTGATCAGGATAGGGTAACGAGGTTTATCTCGAAGAACTGCACATGGCTCAACATGAATACATGCGTATCTTAAGTATGAGTTGTCAGTGGTCACTGAAAATAGATCGTGATTCAGATTACCATGGTGGAACTAAGATATAATGGCACCGAGCAGACAACTTTCTCTGGTTGTTTCAGCAAGCCATCAACCTCCACAGCTTCTACCGTTGGGCCCGACACAAGCGATAAATCCAACACACTTTACACCACGAAGCACGGCTATCAAAATACCTACTTGCAAATGCCGCGCAAGCCCCAGCTCCTGCAGAGCCCAGCAATGCCAGCAATGGCACAATACTTCCAGCTTGTGTGGGAAGTGCCAGGTAATTAACGACAAGCTGTCCTGAAAGGTCTCCAAGTGAGCTGGTACTAATTCTCTCAACAATAGGTTACCTGTTATGTCGCCCCGTCGTCTCACCAAACTCAGCAACCGGCCTACACTTTCACCAACCATGCCAATAACACGCATGCCAGTAACACCTCGTCCTGGTCGCCATACCTCGCAGCTCAAGGCAGTAATAGCGGCGGACAGGCTCACGGGACAACTTAAGGGGACATTGTTCCCAACGGAAGCCAGAGCTTGCTCGGTGTTCCATATCCCAACAATGACAGCCTGGAACAGAGGAAGGCTTATGCTGACTATATAATGGATGGGTACAAGGGCAAAACGAGCTTTTGTCACCCGTACTAGAACCAGAAGAAGTAATTTGGAGGAGGGCAATGGGCCAGATAGGTTGAATGCCAAGCAGGTCCTGGGCACGCGGTTAGGTAGCTGAGAACACAGAAAATGCAGTTTATTTGGAGACATTTTAGGAACATTGCACCTAAGCTGTGATTATCTTGCTCTGCCCTGTTGACTGGTGTGCCAGAGGCACGTGCACCTTGGGCATGCCAGCAGACGTCTTCAGACCCTGCTGCTGCCTTGGGACTGCTGCTTTTCAGAGTCAACCTGAGCTATGGCACGCTCATTGGTTCGAGTTACTTTTCGAACCCACAACAGCCTACACCCAAGCAGACCCCGCGGTGAGGTTCTGCTATCAGGCAGGGAGAGCTACCGTCTGCCGCTGTGAAGCCTTGTTTTGCAGGCGACTCCCAAGTCGACAGATACTTTTTGTTGTTGTTATCTGATGCCAACCTTGTCCCGAATCACACTGTCAGATTCTCACCTCCTTTTTCGACCCCATGGACTGAAACAAAGTCGGCCATCATCTTCAATTTCTTTCACACATTCTCCACTGACAAGTTCTGACAAAATGTCGGGATATCGTTGTCAATGCCGTGCCCTCGGGCAATGGAGGCATTGCAAAGCTCAGGAGACCTGTGTCGGAGCACACTTCTACCTCAACCGCTGTCACCACTGCCGGGTATGTCTTGTCTTTCACGACCCGAAGAACACGACGCTGACAAGACTTTCAATAGGTCGCCAACTGTGGCCCCGTCCTCCTCGAGAATAAATACGCCATTCCATCCGTACCATCCAGTTCCTTTGAACCCACCCCCGGCACCGAAGAGGAGGACTATCCAACCGACATTCTTCCACCTGGTATGAGCATCCATCGGGCCTGGGGAAAGCAGGATAACTTTGTTCCCGGCACCCGCCCACTTCAGCGCGCCAAAGACACTGGTTGTGGTTTTCCTCAGTACAATTGGCATGATGAGAAGCAGTAGAGCCGCCCCGACATCAGCTACAAAGAGAACCTGGAGAGGAAGCAAGAAGAATACTTGGATTCACTGATGTCGGTGGCGACTGAGGAGACGAGCTTCTACCACCCTGATAGTCCTCCCAAGACAAACAACCCTGATGGGACCACTGGCAGTGAGGAGAAGACTGCTGGCAATGACAACGAGCTTGATGGCTCTGGGGAGGTGGAGAAGGCCATGGGTGCGATGACATTGGGCAGCCCTGATGTAGAGAGCCGGGGACAGTAAGAAAGCCTAAGGCATCACCGGTGATCATAGCAAAGGGCTGGGGGAAGAGGATGATACAGGAAGCAGAGTAATATGGGCTTGTAATGTGGTAAATCAAAGGCTTAGAGAGTTAAAGGAAAAGTTATTGTGACCCCACACAGGCGTGATAAAAGTCAGTCCCCCACTGCTTACCGCGATTGACAACTTCTCAGCTTAGTCTTTCAACACTGGAACCTTTCCATCCCATCGATTACCCATCTGGTGAGTTAATCCGAAGTAAGCCATGGTCATACGCCATGAAATTCCCTTACGACCACCGTGAGGCCTGTTTCAGAACGTCTCGCGTGTCTCTGATGCTGTCACCAGCAATAACACGTGCTATTGTCTTTCTACTATTTAATTCAAGGCAAGTCCAACACCCGCGACCTTTTCCGTCACCATCACTTCAAAACAGACACCGGAAGCATCCAATACCACAACGCCGATATGCCCTACCACTGTCAGTGCGCCAATACCGGGCAGGATTATGCCAAGTGTAAAGCTAAAGGGTATTGCTCTACATACGGCGAATCAATAAATCGTTGCCCGATGTGTCAGGTACGTTGTATGTCCCGGTTCAAACTCATTCGTCCCTCAACCTAATACTCGAGAACCTTACTTCGCAAGGGACATCGCCGACAATGGACCCTTTAAACGCCACGAGAGAAAATATCCATTCAAATCATTTCTAGGTCCTCATCGGGAAGCTTTCAGCCGCGGGAATATTAAAACGGACGAAGGTCTGAAGAATAATCTCGAGGAGTGGATAGCTGCATTGGAGCGAGTGGCAATGGGCCAGGATACTGCTCAGGAACTTATGAACTTTTCGCCTTAGAGCTAGAAATGTGGACAACTTCAGTCGTGCTGGAATTTCTGGGGACGGCAACAGTGTTGGTGGCACTGCTATCGTTGTGAACACAGGTAGGTGGACCTGTCAAGAAGCGCAAACCCGAGGACCAATCAGTCAAAAACCAGACCGAGCAAGCCGGCGGCGGGAACAAAGTTAACGCTCGGAAGAAGAGATTCCAGCCAAACCAACATAAGAAGAGCCCATTGTAGGTAGATGAGATGGGGAAGGCCTGGGGATGAGACAGTGGTAACGCTGATCGGGTCGTTAAACAAGAGGTCAGTGAATTGCGGAGATGTAAGGTTGGGTCAGGACATTAAGCAACAACGGCCAATATTTACAGTCTTTGGTGAGAGATTGCTGTGGCACAGAAAGACGGCTCAAGTCTAAACCGTCGGGTTTTCCTGAGTTTAGCTACCTGCATCACTTTTGGTTGTTCTGATACGTACCTAGGTAATTCCCAACAAGACAAATCAAACCGCAAAGGGCGTTGTTCACTTTTTAACCTTTGCCTCTTCCCTCTCGCTGAACCGGTCCCCAAAGAGATCAAAGTGTGGCCGCATAACAATGGTGTACTTGACCAGCTCCTCCATGCAATCCACCAGCCTATCCCTGTTGGAGCTTGGCTTCAGTCGGTTTCCCCCATCCACAGGATCATTGGCATCCGTAAAGTGCGTCCATGCTTGCGGGATGGAACTCTGGTTTGGAATGGTAAACATTCTCATCCAACGGCCCAGAATACGCAGAGAGTTGACGGCGTTGAACGACTGGGAACCGCCATTGACCTGCGCAATAGCCAAGGTCCTCCCCTGAGTGGGTCGGACAGAGCCGGTTGAGAGTGGGATCCAGTCGATCTGGTTCTTGAAGACGGCGGTCTATGCAAGAGTTAGCCAGAAAATCTACCCAGAATCTTTGTGGGAGGAGTCGTACTAAGTTCCCGTGTTGTTCGGGACTGATCCAGACATGCCCGTCACTCCACTTGCTAAGCTCCCGAAGCTCACGCACTTTGGGATGGTCGTGCTGCTCATCATCCTTGACTGGGAGACCCGCTGGATCGTACACTCTTACATCACAGCCGAGGCGGAAGAGAATGCGTGAAGCCTCGTACGCAAGAAGCTTGGAGAATGATCTGATAATTGTCAGCTAATGCGTATCCATCGGTAGACTCTTATAAAAAAAAGCAACTGACCGCGCCCGAAGACTTCCGTAGAGCACGAGGATCTTTAGCCTGTCCTTATTTTGAACGAGCAGCTCAGTGTCGACCATTTTCGCCGCTGTGGCCAATTCGAGCTTCGACACCCAATCTGACTCGGAGATTTCATCGCTCAAAAGGAACGGACGGTACCGCTTGCGTATGTCCTGGTCTTCATCGCAGGGACGGATTGCAAAGGATTTGAACTCGTACGTGGAGTCATGGGCCGGCTTCACATGCTCCCTCATCGCCTCTGTGTTATTCAGGTCTCCCATGTTTCGAATTATTGTTTGCATGTGGCCTGTGAATCTGAGTCGGGTGGCCGGAATGAGCCTTCTCTTCAGGATCCCGGGAAATTTCATAAGAGAATTGTAAATGTTGAACAAAATGTAAACAATTTGGAAGATTCAGTGGCATGCCAAGTGATAGTTCCGTGGGAAAAAAGAAAACATTTCTAATATCCCCTTCACGAAGTGGATCCCGCCGAGATCTGAACTGTGGGCCAATCATCGTGAGGGAGTGACATACCGTTGCACGGCAAACATCTATCGACTCCACACTAAAGAGCAACCTTGGAACGAGTCTGAAAACAGCAAATGCTTCTCCTCAGCACGATATTCACATGTCGACACCTGCCTCGCCTAAGGCTCAATGTGCCCTTGATGCTCACTCGATAATAACAGTCATCTCCCGTCTCTCCACCGGAGCCTGCCTTAACAAGTCATCCCCCGTCACACACTTGTCCAGCGAGACCTTGGGAATCACCAAGTAAAGCACCCCGACCCTCTCCCAAATCGAAGTACGACCCCTGAAACTCCTCACTTTTCTCAACGTCATGAAATGCGCCCCTCCATGGCCACTCTGCTCTTCAGGATTCCACCTGGTCGCATACATCAAAACACTCACCAGCTCCCCGTCAAAGTGCTTTTTTGTCCACTCCTCCTCCGTCATTTCCACACTCATAGCAACAAAGGACAGTCTCCCAGCAATCCGATACTGTTTCGTATCCCACGGAACATTCTGGTCAGACTGAACTGACCTGCTGCCCACCCTGCCCGCCCTGGCTGTCCAATCCCATTTCTTCTTGCTTTCGCTAACTGGATGTCGTGTGGAATACTTCAGCACATACGGATTTTGGAGCACAATCGCATCTGGCTGTTCTGCATCGAGAGCTTCACCAGAATGGCATTCCCTCAGCCTCACCGTTCGTGCAGGCATGTTATTCTCTGCTAAAGGCGCCGAGTTGAAGACGTGAAATTCCGCTACCCAGAGGGGATGGGGGGGCTGCTTCGCCGAGATGGCGTCAATCATGTCCGTCATGTTGGAACAGTGCTCGATAGCGGGAGGAGCCCGCCAGGAAACAGGCCCCTCCCATCCTGCCCAGGTCCATGACGGAAGGTGTGGCCTTCGAGAGCAAGGCTCTGAGATGAATGTTGTTTCTGGCTGTATACTGCTCCGGTGATACCACCCGCTCGCTGACATGGCAAAAGTAACTTGCGTGGTGGAACAGGCTGGGACACTGCCGTCGAGGTAGAGAGGCAGGCCGTGGAGGAGGTAAAGCTCAGGGAAGCGTCTGTACATGCTGGTGATTCCCAAAAACGCTGGCAGGGAATCTGTACCGTGGGTCAACCTCCGGTGGGAGTACGCCCGAATGTGCTCGTTAAGTCCGCGGAGTTGCGCACGGAGGGTGGCGCTGAGGTGCGGCGGGAAGCCATAGTCCAGACGGTATGGATCGTCCCCCCCGGTATGGACGGAACCTTCGGTGCTACAGAATGGGCCTCCGCTCGAAGCGTCACCTTTGAAGATCCCGCCTAGCATGAAGTCGGCCATGACAAGCTCTTCATCTTCTCGCTCTTTCCAGAGAACTTTGCTATTGGCCGCCCCGTCATCGTCGGCAAGCTCTTCAACTTGTGAGAATCTGTGAAAGAGCTTAGTGTCGATACTCTCTTGAGCAGCCATGTTTCGACATTCCCAGTAGACTTGATGTTCGGTAAAGACGATGCGTCTGTTGGAGAGGATACCTTCCTGGTATGTCCAGCCTCGCGTCCAGTGGCTTGATTCGAGAATGTCACGGCGCGGATCTCGAAGAGTCGAGACTAGAGCGTTCCCGCTGTCAAGAGTGTAGTGTGGCTGTGGTCTTCGGGGGGTGTCCCGAATACCCGGAAGACCGTGACCGGCACCGTTGCCGGCCGCGGCGACAATGGTTACTTCAGCTGCCTCATAGATGGCTGCCATTTTGGAGACCAGATAGGCCTTTTCATCACCGTCTGACTGGTTGATGCACAGCCTGTCGACCCAAAGGTATCGCAGTCCGATATCCTTCGTTGCACCAACGGCATCCAGGACGGTCCTTGGCCATTCAACTTGATCCTCAGGGCTTGTTCCCCACACGTAGCTCAACGCGGCGTAGGGAACCCCCCACGGTTGGACTTCTACCGTGGGAGGGTCCGCTTCGCAGTCAATCACCCTGAAGCCGCGTTCAACAACATCATCTGAAGTCCTGCTCCTACAAGCGTTCCCATGTTTCTTCATGCAGTTATCCAGCCAGTCTCGCACGAGACCTAAATCCACCTCGTTTCGCAACACCCTTGGACGCATCAACTCTTCAGGCGCCTCGTCAGCTCGCAACCGACATATCATTCCCACCGAGGGAACCTCTTTCTCAATCCAAGTATGCTCATGCCCCATCGGCGGCAGCCACTCCAAGTCAGGAACAACAATCATAAAGACCGAATCTTGAAGCTTATCCCACATCTCCTTCCATTCCTTCAACAGGTCAATTTGAAACAGCCAGCTCTCGCTGCTAGGGAGAGCAAGCAGCTTGTACTTTTCGTGCTTGTCTGGCTGCACCCTCATTTGCCGGAAGAGCTGGCATAAAGGGCACTTTGTGTCTGGCTTCAGTCGGTCTTCGAAATAATGGATAGGTACTGCGTCTTCAAAGTACCAAGACCCATCCTTTGCTCGAACTGGGGTGCTGCGGGGTTTCACCCCAGCTTTCAACTCTCCATTACGCCATGCTTCGAGAACTGAAGGGGCTTTGTCGAAGTAGTTGTCGAGGTCGAAGGCTTGACATTCTGCGCAGAGGGGTGAGGTTGGGTCGTGTCTTGGCCTCTTCTGTCCCGTCGGGCTGCGTTCTGGTGACTCGGGGTCGCTGTGCTCCGGTTCTCGTGGCTCAGGGTCCTTGCCTCGTTTTAGGGGGTTGCGAAGGTTTGTGACGGGCATTTTGGCGATATAACTCTCTCATCTGCAATAGGTACCTAAACAAACGCAGGCGAATGACATGGATTTATGTGTGAGTCAAGGTTGATCATTCTTTGGGCCAGGCAGACCGCAAGGCTGGACTGAGCACTTCCCTGCAGCGTCCGGTCCCCTGAAACGTGCAGTCGCCAAGAGAGCTCTGCCACCGCCACAGCTGAGGGTAGCTCCTGGGCAGCGAGCCTCGTTGTTTTTTCTGTGTCGTTAATGACTTATTAAGCCTCAACGTCAGAACTTTGCATTTCCTCGAACAAGATGTTGCCGAACCACCACCTCGATTCGAACCTTTGACCCGCCGACTCGAGCGACAAACCGTGTCACCAGATTGCCATGTATCAAACTCTGCGTGGAGAAGAATTCCGCGTCGTCCATCTACTTCCCGGAGAATTTGACGACGAAATTAGATGCGTCTTGGAAATACGACCACCCGACATCAAGACTGCATACGAAGCTCTGTCATACCAATGGGGCGATGATAGCAACTTGAAGACCATCCACATCTTGCATCTTCGCCGTCCCCCAAACCCGCCGGACAACAGATTGGCAAGGGCTCGCTTACGAAAGGGGCTGTCCATGGTTATAACACGCCTCTATATCATCTTCGTCTGGTACTACATCCGCTCAATCGAGTTCAGGCTCAACCTACAAATGGCCATGATGGTCTTGAACTTGCATTTTTGGTGGCACTGGTTTGTCTCAAAGATACCAGACGTTGTCGATAAGATGCTCGGGACAAACCGTGGAGGTTGGCCTACAGCTTTCGAGCGACTGATGTTGAAGACTTTGACTTTGACGACCTGCAAGTGCCACCGAGCCTTGATCTGGCGCTTCGATATCTCCGATCGGGAACGGCTTCCCGGACACTTTGGATCGACGCGTTGTGTATCAATCAAAAGGACGAGGCGGAAAAGCGAATACAGAATCAACGTATGCAGGCAAGCTACGCCAATGCCTGGCGGGTCGTTGTGTGGCTTGGGGGGTATCATGTTATCACTGCTGAGAACAGCGCTTGCAGCGAAGCGGATTACTGTTCGCAACGCCGCCAGATTGAGAAAGCCTTCTATGTATGTACTGGACTAAGCAGCTGGCGCTTTGTCTACTCCTGGCTATTTAACTTGGACAGGGTATTCGCCGAACAAGCTGTTGCCGGTCTGATTGACATCGACAAAAGAGGATGGTGGGAAAGACTTTGGGCTATACAGGAGATGGCATTGGCTACAGGGAGGGTCCTGCTACAATGCGGCAAAAGTGTTTGTCATTATAACCTTTACTGCGCCATGAGGCTGAAGATGATTGAACGGTTCGATAACATGACTGACCTTCAACGCACTTCCGCGGCAGCCATGCAGACATTTGTTGAAACCACAGAGTTATTTCGTTATCCGGAAGATCTGTTGCCTACAGGCTCTCTAATCAGACTATGGCTTGTTCAACTCATCTCTCGTGCCGCTGGCCAAGAGCGCAGGCAACAGTTCAGAAAGCAGAAGCTAACACTCAGACTACAGTATATCCTCCTGAGGACCAGTGGCCACTTCAAGTGCCGGGATGTGCAAGATCGACTGTATGGTGTTCTCGGCATTGCGGGAGGCTCTATAGTTGGAACTAAGAACAGAGCTCTGCGGACTTCGTACTGAGATTGGGCCACAATAACACTCGGTTTCAGCTGGTGGCACTACGGCGTGGATTAACAAGGCCCCATATTCTTCTTTTCATCTGGGACCAGTCGTATACCCGGATCGCCCAGTACTGGCCCATCTTTCGGCCGCAGTTTGTTATCAAGGACCAAAAGGAAGTTCACGAGGCAATCGCTCGCTCGTCCAGAGACAGTCACGATAAAGCTCAGTTCTTCATGGACCTGGCACAGTATCTGGGAACTCGAACCGGCAGATTGTCAATTCTAGATTGTGCCAACTGCATGGCTGACCAGGATTTCCAAGCGCCCTCCTGGCCACCGGTTTGGACCAGACCTATCGATCACGATGCCTATGTAGTTGCCATCAGTCAGGACTACGTACCTCCTGACAAGTTCCACTTCAGCACAGATTCAAGAACTCTTACTCTACAAGGACGGACCCGAGGAACCATCAACGTTGTGCGCATCATCAACACCTCACCGCCCGATCACACCCAGCCGCTGCAGCGAGCATTTGAGATATGGCCGTATCTTCCCATGGAATTCAAAATAACAATGTTGGTAGACTTGTCATTTCTGCTGCTGTTTTTCAGAAACGTGTTAGCCACGAGGCGGACCGCTACCATCGCACTCATGAAGCGATGGTTTGCGGCTGGCAGCCCTGAAGGCACAATCGAACATCAGATCAGGACTGTGAGACTGACTGATTGGGACCGGAATTACCCGATGTGTCTGGTATGGCGTCTTTTCTTCAAGGCCGTCTGGCGGGAACTCCGGCATGGGCACTGGCGACGGAAGGGTGCGTATGGTATGGTTCGCCTTCGTCTTAGCATTGAGCTTCCCAAGTATACACTACGCGATTAATCACCTGGAATCGCTGCGGGTCATGTTTCGGAGAGCGATGTTCTCGATGGAGAACCGCGGCCATGATACCACACTGGTTTATAGCTTCGACGCTAGAGCTGGTGAGATGGGCGTTCTGAAAGCGGGCGAGGCCGTTCCAGGTGATCAACTCGTCTTTGTTCCAGGATTTTACCATCACTTGGTCTTGCGAAAGCTGAGTGACATGAAGAAGACACAGTGGCGGTTGGCTGGCCTTGTTGCTATGGGTCCCACGGGTGCCCTCGAGCGAACAGCTTGCACCTAAGCCCAGTGGGAACAGCACGAGAGGGATGGGGCATTGCAGGAATATTTAATTATATAGGAGAGGCATTCCGTCCTCTCCTCCCTTCAGGAACACTGGTGCCTCTCTATGCCGCTAGAACACTAGAACCCAGCAGCTCCCCAGATGTAAACCAACAACCTCGGTGACCCAACAAGCGCCGTAGGCCACCCCGACCGTCCCATCCCAGATGGAATCTACCCGAAAACGGGTTGTAACCATCCCTTCTCCTCCCCAGATCCTTTTTCCACTTTGTCCTACGTCGTCAGCACACTCCGCTGGGAAGCTTGATCTGCTGACTGTACCTCCATGCGGCTGCGCCTCCACTTGTGAGACACCAAACAGCTGGGGGCCAAAAACGAGTGTATGTCTCACTCGCCCACCATGATGCGACAACGGACCTATTGGATCTGACTGGCTTGAGCCCATCTACCGATCAGAGCAGGATTACTGCGTGGCACTTTTCAGCGTTCATGAAGCCCAATGTCGTTACCTACCTACCTAACTAACCGTTAGCTAACCAGAAGCCGCAAAACTGAGCGACTGACGGCTTGCACGAAACTCTACCTAGATATGACAACAAAAGTCAGAGTTCAGTCCTCCAAGATGCATTTCCTGCGCAGCACCCACGTTATGATGGAAAAGTATTAAGAAGAAGAAATTGAAGGCCGAAATCGGCATCCGTAATGTAAAACAAGCCTCAATGGTTCTAACCGTTGCCAAAGAACCCCACCCAGACACCTCATGAACAAGAAGCCTCATAATAAACTTCGTTGGCCCAAACCTAAACCCGTAAACTCAACGCTCAACACCACTCCTGCCATAACCCACCCGGTACCAAACTTGAACTGGCTGGGGCCAGTGTCAAGACCACTCCAAACCTCACTCAACACCCACCTCCCCATCTCCAAACCCCTGGTATAGTCCCTGCACAAAAACGGCACCAAACAACATGGCAGCGTTACACGCCCCCATCCCAACTTCCCGGCCTCAACTCAAGAGGCTCAGCAAAGCGGCTCAGCCCCCTCCATGACCAACACCTACCTCACCACCAATCTCAAACTAACAGGGACTTAATTCAGGTGCCTGCAAAGGTCCAATAAACTTTTCGTACCTATCCGTCAATCACGGCCTCACAGTCGAAAATATTTTACGTACAAAGTGGCAGATGCTTACGTTACTTACCTATGCGGGCCAACAAAATAAAAACTCTGCTTCTTACATATTATCAACCCCACCCCACAAGGCCAAATGATCCAACATCCATGTGTCCCCAATCTCCCAAACTGCCATCTGACACCGAAATCGGACGCTGGGCTCATCCCCATTTGGAAGTCGAGGCTTGATGACAGCTGGCTGCACGTCCGGAAAAGGCTCCAGAAGAGCCTGTTCGTAAAGACATGCACTCGATTGGGTGACGTGGCTTTTGGTGAAAAGTAGTCAGACGGCGAGTGACAGCAAAACAAACTTTCACAATTCAATGGATTGTTACTCATCAATGATATTGAATGCTTTCATGAGAGAGACCATCATGATCATATCATCATAATATCCGCGGCCGCCAATTCCCCATAATCCACCCAACTGATATCAATAGCACCAAAACACACCACACACACACACACACACACACATCTCTTTTCATCCAAAACAAAAGGGGGTATCCAAAAACAAGAAAAGAAAATTTGTTGTACGTAGTAATCCCACCCCTATCCCTCAGTGGCGGTGGCGGGGGTATCTCTCATCAAAAGTCCTCCATTCCATCATCCAAAAAACATCCCTAAAGAAACAAAAAAGAAAATACAAAAAATAATATTACACAGGCGACGTCCGCTCAGCATGTGACCTCCCCTCCCTCGTCAAATCCTCCATGCTCGTGCTCTCCTCCTGCAGGCTCTTGCTCCCAACCCACTTCCCAACTGTCGACTGCCGCCCGGAATACCCCTGATCCCGTCGAAGCGTATGATGATGCGGCTTGCCGTCGGTGATCTCGACCACGCTCATCCGTCTGCTCCTCCCAGAGCAGCAGCCGGGGAGGCTGAGCATAATGGCAGCCCAGAGGGACTTGCACGCCGCCCACGATGTGACCATGTAAATGATGGCGTTCCAAAATCCCTGAAGTGGTAGCACAAAAGCCGAGGCAAAGAAGAGCGGCTTGGAGACCTCGCCGCGGTGGACCATGCTGTAGACACGATTTCCGGAGGAAGGGATCCATGTGATGAGGAGGACGCTGAAGAAGAGAATGGAGCACTTGGCGTATGACCAGGTCGCGTTGTTATTCTCCATGTTGCGCCGGCGGGCGTGAAGGTTGGGGGAGTTGCCGGTGGAGATCTGTGTGGACTGGAAACCACCGCTGCTCATCACACGGGCATGCTTGGCCTTTTGGGTGCTGCTCATCGTTGACGTCAATGTGGTTGGGCTTTCGGCGGCTTCGAGGTCATCGTCGTCGAGGGAGACACGTGTGTTGGCAGAGGGATCGGCGGAAATGTTGACAGAGTAAGAGAAGTTGGGGTCTTTGACCTGAGCCCCGGCAGGGGCACCTGGTGGCTTTGTTCTTGAGTGAGCGGCTGCGAGGGGGGCAGGTGGCTGAATAATCTCGGTGGTTTGGGTGACCTCCGTGGTCTTGAAGTTGAAGGCGGTGGAGAACTCGTTTGCAACAGGTGAGAACGGCTCGCTTCCTACCACTGTGCCAGTGCCATTGGAGGAGCTGAAGTTGAGCATCTTTCGTCGCTTCTGGTAGATTTCGCGCCCAGCCCGCAAGTAAATAAACATTGTGACGACGATGGAAAGCCTAAATCCTGTCAGCACTCGCCTAAAAGGCACCATGGCAGCTTACATACCACACAGGCCCGTAAAACAGCGCAATTCTGTAGATCTCCCATTCGGGCCTCAGCCAGCACCATAAGACGGCATTGCCGTATGGCCTCCCGTTTTGGTTTGAGGCAAAGATGAATGTGAATCCCGGAATGAATGGCACACCGTAGCAACAGACAAAGTAGGCGATCTCCATCCTTCTCAACATTCTTTGGTCATATTTGTGGTAGAATGTGAGCCACACATTAATGGCCATGGCCAAAGCCCAGTACGCATCGCCTTGCATAAATCTGCGAGAGGGATCTCGTCAGCTTAAACAGTGTACGGAACCACTAACAACATGGGTAGAGCTCACACTTGAATCAAGAAGCCTTGGAGCTGACATCCAAACGAGTTCTCGTCGCCGACATATGTTCTCGTCATGAGGGTGGCGACATTCGTCAACATGTTGCCAAAGGTAGCGTAGAAGACCATGCGGTTGACGGCGCGTTGGCGGAAGGCATCAGAGACGGAGAAGGTGACGAGGACGAAAAGACACCCCAACAGTGAGATGGCCGAGCAACCTTGCTCGATGGCAATGATGTGGTTCGCCTCGGCCTCGGTGAGGCCACGCATGGTACTCATGATGGCTGTTGCTTCTGGCATCCCGGGCCAGGCGATCGTGAATGGAACTCAGCAATGACACCCACACTCAGGGTCACGACGGCGGGGCGGGATCCCGCATATGTATCCGCAGTGTCCGGCACTTGAGGGACCTACTTGTTGACGTGGGAAAGGGCTCAAGGTCCTGGTGGGCCGCACGAGGCCAGGCGACGGCAGGCGGGCTGCAGTAAGGAAGAAAGAGTGTGGAGGGAGTGAAAATAGAGTTGACAGAAGAAATGGTGCCCACCACGACTGGTCAAGATGACGCTTATGAGAGACTCGGGGGCTGAGGAACAACCATTCCACTGTGCCTCCGTGCTACTGAGCCAGACCGGGATGTTGAGCACCAGCAACCAGGAACCGATTCGGGGGACTTGGTTAGCGCAGGGGTTTGTCATTGGCCCCGTTGAAGATGAGCGCGGACTCTTCTTCTGCAGCGCTATCGAGCATTTGCAGTCGTGCCCCTCGAATTTTGCTGCTGCCAAAAGCCCCGCGGTCGACCTTCATATCGTCCGAGGCCCTTGGCCACACAATGAGGGGGGTGTGGAGGACAGAAGCAGCTTTTCCCCAAGGTCCATTCCTGGTTAACCACAAGACCGCTTGTGCAGCTAAAGACGCCACACGGTTCTCTGATGCGACGCCGAGTCTCCTGTATCCCGGTTTTGGTGTGTCTACCCGCAGGCTAGAGTTCACAAAAGTCGTCTGATGTTCTGGTCTGTGCCGAAGCCGATATGTGCAACGGATGCTTCCCCTCCTACAACTCCTTCGAACCTGGCCTGCCTTATGAGCAGTGGCGCGAGTAAGCAGCCATTGCGGGCGTTGCTCCTCGCCATGATTCTTTCTTGCTAGGCAGACAGGCTCGCAGCTTGGGGACCGCACCAAACGCGGGCATCGGGTTTGCGATATCAAGAGATGGAGGGACGACGACATGCGGCTGGGTCGGGCCTGAAGTTGAAGATATCGGACCTGGTGCTCCGCATGTTGCTCCAAGATCTGGCATAAACTCCACCGGCTGGTCTCGACAGTCTTGTGTTTGTGGGTGTAATTATCTGGACGGCCGTTATGCTCCAGGATTCCCCAGAAAATAGCCCGAAACCACGTCGGTCATTGGATACCCCCTGTGATGGGGGGTTGGAGACGAGATGAAGCGACTTGTCCAAGTTGGTGATAGCTCACCGTCGTGCCCCTCCTCTTCCCGCAAAAAGGTCTTTTGAGGTTGCTAGCTGCATCGAGCCTTACCTGTTCTGGAGTCTAGCTTCTGCGCTGCCCATCTTGAGCCCTCACACTGCCGGCTTGCTTTCTTTTTCCTGGTGAGCTTCTTCAGATCGTAGTCAGCACCCGCATACCTCGTGGCAAGGCAGCGATATTTCGGCGCGTGTGAGAGGCCCAAGAGACTTCCACGTCAGGCACCTGATTGCCAGTGTTGATGACGGGCTTGATAGGGGCTTGATAGGCTTGAGGATGCTGTGGCGAGCTGAAGGTGAGAGATTTGAATGGGTAGGAATCGGATATATGCATCAACCATTGGATTCGAACTGGGAGCTATCTCGCATCCCGGACTCGGTTGATGTCTGGTTCTCGAAACAAGACCATTGGACTCGCACGGTCGGCGCACAGACCAAACGAACGTCTGGATCCCAGTCAGCATCGCTGTAGCATCCCGCGTTGCTCACTTGTTGGCCGGTGTGCGACGTTGGGGTGTGTGGTGTGCCATGTGGGAATCGGCTCGCTCCCCCAGGCTGTCTCACCGCCATCCTTCACTGTCAAACCTGTGTGAATATTGCGTCAGTGCGGCGCCAACCGTCTGCAAGTGACATCTCTTGATCGAGACCCTTTTGTGACGGCGAGCATCGATAGTCGAGACTCTGCCGTCTGCCCAGAGCACCACCGGACAGCAGTCGTGATTGTTGCTCGGATTCATCGTGACAGAGCTGACATGCACCGGAGGCATGAGGGATAAATTGGGTGTGAGGTGGCTGACTTGTGCTGCTCGCAGAGGGGCAGCTGCAAAGAGTATTGGACAAGCTGGTCCACATGCTGCGTGGTAATCCGGTATTGATGATATGCTTGGTGGATGCATAGAAGCTGTGCCCCGAACGGGCTTTCCGCCCGATTCACCACCTCAGGCAGGGACTTTGTTCTCTGTGTGTTCTTCAGCAGCAGCACCGTTGCCCATTGCGACCGGGCCTCTGCCACTCTGGACGCCGACGGGCTGCTCGGGAGGCGGCGCAATGTACACTAATGTGCGCGATTATCGGAGGCATTCTGGAGTCCCTCAAACTGCTGTCAAATCGACTCGCATTGTGATTGATGAATGAATGGTTGAGGTCCAAAGTTGCAAATTGGGGTTGCAGAGATCGCGTCGGCGGTACCCAAGCATTGCCAAGCGGTGCACGGATGGCATAGTCCAGAGACGATGTAACGGAGAAACCCAGTGACAGGACCCGCAATTACCAAACCCGGGGGGATCTTCTCCACTGCCTCCGCCTTTCTCCACTTGATCTACCCCGCTCGCTCTCAGCGTTCCCCTTCTTTAACAGATTCATCACTTCATCACTTGGACTGTTGGACTGTTGGGCTGTTTCGATTTCAGATGCAGAGCTAACGCAAATGCCAGTATCTGTTGTATGTGATATATGCACCGAGCAGCAGGAGATGCACGACAGACTGAAGAATTTCCTAAAACATCCCGACAAGCCGCCCTGAGCCATGCACCATCTCGACCTGCTCCAAATCGGGCTCCTGCGCCGTCGTGGAAATGATCCCGCCCAAACTTGACAGTCATAACACAGCTTTTATGCATACAGCACCCTCACCTATCTCCCTGACCGGTGTGCCTTCATATGCCCCGCAGAGTAGCAATGAGCGACCACCAGAAAAGCTTGCTCCTTGAGCCCAGCTTGTCGTTCCTGCGTGACAAGCTCCGGCCGACATTGGCATCCACGATCTTAGCGTCGCATCATTGCCATGGCTTTCTCGGGCTGCTGTTGCAACCCGATTCTAGACCATTTCCGTTATAACGTCCTCCTCCAGTTGTTGATTTGTAATACAGAGCACACTATCACGGGGGTGTCGGCAGGGCTCACAGACTCCTGGCAACGCCATGCGACAGCCAGTCCGTGCTTCACCCCAGCGCTAGCACTAGCCGATGTTGTAAAAGTTCGGAGATTCAGCTTCAAAAGGTCATCGTCTCCTTCAACTCGAGTTTGGTTTACCTCATGAGTTTTGACTCTTGAAATGAGGTCGAGATGATCGCGAAGCTGAGGTGTTGGCAGACAGATCAGGGTGCCGTACTCTTAGGACATTGTCATAAAGCGACCAACATCACCAAATTCAGTCTCTACTTCCCAGGTCAAGTCAAAGCACTGTCCACTGTTGCCAGTGAATTTGTCTAGCTCCTTGGTACAAACTTCTCTACCAAACCGTTGGGTTTCCTCAACAGGGTATATCCATCATCAACACATCAAGCAAGCCAAGAAGAGGGGAACTTCTAGGCATTTCGCATGCACAGACTCGATTTCAAACCTCATCCGAAGACCAAGACTTCCACATCAGACCGGTGAGACAGGGATGTTGCGAGCCTAGCCGTCATTAACTTGCATTCGGACCCCGACCAAGTGACGATAGGGCAGACGGCCACGATTTGGACACTACACTAAGAGGGAAGAAAATGATCATCTCATGCGCTCTGAGGCTAGGAGAAGCTGAAAGTAGATCAACATGTGGACGCGCACAGCCTCTGAGAAACTGCTGATGATTCCGCTATACTTGACACAATCCAGGGGCAGATTCAAGATCAAGCTCTTGGTTGTGAGAAGTGTTCCCGGCCTGTTTCGGTAGATAGGGACAACTATCATTTGTCATTCAACACAACAGCGCACCACATGCCGAGATACCGATCGCAGACATTCGTTATGACAAACTCTCAGAGAGCATCATTCTTATGACTCGCTGCGGAAGTCTTTGCTGGAGACTATCCTTCCAGTAAACCATTCCACATTGCGTCCAGATGAGCTTTAGTCTATACCCAGGCTTCGACGTCAAGAGTCTCACAATATGATGATATCTGACCACCCGCCGTGCCCTCCATGGTAACAGCTCATCCAGCCAACAAAACAATCCGCAGTCTCATCTAAACAATTCTTAAGTATGCCTATATCGCTTCACAAGTTGTCGTCATAAATCAGGAACAGAACAGCAATGACAAGATCAGAACAGGTGCATTGGAGCTTTCCTATAGGAAATGAATCAAAAGACCCAGAGGGAGGCGTAATCGGCTTGATAATCCCGTCACTGAGTCGCTCTCCTACGTGTTCATACAGGTGTCCGCTCCCACTTAAAAGGAACTGTTATTCTTTTCCAGTCAATGCAAGTTCCATAGGTAGTTGCATCACTCAGACCTACCGAGCCCCTTGAATCACATCCTATGTACACAGGAACAGAACCGAGTTCGATTTACAAGGAGCCACGTAATCGATAACATGATTTTGACCTCCCGACAGAACCTCAAAGCTAGGTAGGTAAGTAGGTATTCCTACACATGCCCTGGGCAAGAGTTCTGAAGAGGCGGATGTGGACCATCTGCCCGAAGTCTGATGCCGAAAACTGACAGCCCCTTTAGATGTCTTTCTGATTTTGATTTATCCCAAGTCGAGGATCCCACCGCCTTAAATCAAAAAAAGACTTTCATACCTACCAGCCCCTCGGTAAGCTTTCCATTGCTCGTAACCGATCACATATCTAGACCCATCAGCCCAACCAGGCGAGGCCAACACTTTTAAGTCTAGCCCAGCAATCCTGTTTTGTCTTGCTGGAGACCTTGCAGCACACCGACACGAGATCCAAAAAAGTCACGAATGGGAGAGAACATCATGCCTGAGAAAAAGACCAAACTAACAGTTTTAGCTGAGGAGTGAGGCGGCCAGCTTGTCTTGTCTTGTTTGGACTACATCCTGTTGAGCAGCTCTATTTGGCTTGCGGGAGAATATTGCGTACCTATCAAGTCGATAAAAATAATTAGATAGAAAGCTCTCAACACGTATTCTCCCGCTGGGGCTTGCACAAAGAGTGCTAAGGATATCTACATAATAGCAAATACTTCAACCGCCAAGTCGATAACGTAAGTGCTACTTGACGTTATGTTTGATCTAGATACGATGCGCGGTAAATGTTCAGGATACTTTTCTGTGCCTGTTGCTTGAAGGACTTTGATGCATTTATTGAGTCAGTAGGTACGGCATATACCTGATTTCTACGTCCTCCCTGGACCCAATATACCTACCTTAGCTGTATCGTCTGTGAGGTAGGATTAGACTCTCCATTCCCCCATCCCAAGGTTGGCACTAGGGCATCTCTCCGGGATGTAGTTCGGACCCGGGGTTAGTTCCTAGGTAGTACGGTGGTTAAGTTGTCCTCGAGTCTGTTAAAACCTCGCACGCCCGAGTGATAGCAATAGCTCATACTCAATATCGGAGCGAAGAAATGCACATTGTTCAACAGTGTATGGGGGTTAAGTTTTAATCTTTTTAGTACCTTAGCTGGATACACCAGTGGAATGGGCTTCAAGGTTCGCTCGTTAACTATGGCTTAAACCTTGTTGCTTTCTAATCGTGCTCTAAGTTTTGGGTCTGCCTTCAAGGCTCTGCTTAACTCAAGAAACGGCCTCGTTCACCGTTAGTTGAGAACCCAAATTCCAGGTGCCAGTGAGCTTCCCATGATATATATCCAAGGCTTTCGCTTCAATATCCAAGGTACCTGGATTTCGTGAGAATTAGTTGATGAGTGGAGAGAAGACTTTCAGTATAAGGACAATATTGCATCGCAATGCTGAATGGTGTTGAAGGTTGCCAAAGGCAGTAAATCATGTGCTCCAGGGTACAGGGGGTGGCTGGATGACTCGGCCGACGGCGCCACGGTGGCTGGTTCCCATCACAAAGAGCGGTGTTGTTGGTCCCAACAAAGGTGTCGGTGTGCATCTTCATCTCCACCTATGATAACGGATCTCATGTCCACGATTAGTTTAGATAATCTCTGATTTGATAGAGCGGTCTCGGTGATGGTGTGCTCATCTCTTAGCCTGCCGTGCTGCGCCCAAAATGCGAGATACCAGCCACCTGAACCCGAAGCTGGTTGATATGGCTTACGCCAAATCAGTGCCTTTGCCGGGTGAATTATCCCCCGAGCTCCCGGTTTCGGCTTCCATCACGATGTTTGACAGCTTGGATCTTGCATGCGGCCCTTCTGCATGATAGTCTGCATGGAAAGTGCAAGGAAGCTTGCTAGACTCCGAGATCGGAGCCGGTGGTAGCAGTTGGGCCTATTCGCAAAGTATCAATGTTTTCACAACAGTGGCCCCGTGACGCAAAGGCCAGAACATTTGGGCTCAGCATTGGGCGCCTTTTAATCTCCCCTTGTCAGAACTTGTGCGCGTTCCCACAGATCTTGTGTCATGTTCGAGGTGGGTCGATACCTAATATCTTTTGTGTTCCATGCCATCCCATGGAGCTGTTTCGATGGGGGCGTCCAATGTCTCACAGCTTCCTCCGAGGGGTCATTAGACAAGGAGCGAGTCTGGGGCTCAACGGGGCCACAAGACAGATGAATGGGTGAGTATCTTCCGCCATCAATTTTCAAACCAAAACAATTCCGATGTAACTCTTGCAGGCACGCGTACAGCATTCCTGACATTTTCATTGGAATTCTCGATCGATATTGCCAAGCCCATGCCGGAAAAAGGGTCGGGTGAGACAAGAGATGGCCAGCCAATGGAGTCGCCGCCTTTTCCCTCGACTATTCAGCGTCCGCTCGCCGGGAGGAAGACCCGTCCGTGATCGTCGCAACTTGGTGGTCTTCGTTGCGATAGGCCTACAACGCCATCCCAGCTCACCCTCCACCATCTCAACACCAACCAAAACATCCTACACAGCCATACAGGCTGCAAGGTCCCGGTTGTAACCTCCAGACGCCAAGAGCTTGACTTTGCGGGGGAGATTAGCGAGCCGTTTGCTCCCGAGTTCCCAAGTCGTCGGATCTGCAGCCGGGAGATCCCGATTCGGGGCCCTGTAGGACCCATCCCTACTTTTAGATTTGATAGTGTGGTTCTTATTTGGACGTTGAGGCCAAGAAGTGCCTGGGAAGGCTGTTGTTGACACTTTTCCGAGCTTTTTGCGCCCTCAGACGCCCCTTTTGTGCCCCTTTTGTCTTGAATTTTGCCCTCACCGGACGGGCAAGATCAAGAAAACACTTGCCGTGACTGCCGTCTCGCTTGACATTTCGGTGGACCTGACGCTCGCATGTGATGTCACGCTACTGGACTCGAAACCCGGGTTTATGTTGGGTCGATTCTGCCGCGTATATCCATCACAATCAATTAATATCCAAGGCGTCCGCTGCGGGGGCCCAATCTATTCGAGGATCTCAGGAATTCCATGGAATCTCTGGCCAAGATTCCTTGCGCCTGCTGCTTTGGGCCTAGTGGACCTTGTCTCCTGCTTGGGGACGCCCGTGGCGGTGCCGAGCTTGCATTTTCCCACAATCATCTGACTGGCGTGACTGGGCATCAACGAATGGCAACCGCTTCGATGTTCCGTCCGAGATAGGAGCGCGTATTGGGTGATTGGGAACGGGTAGGCTGGGCCTTGGGCAAGAGGACGGACAGGGTAGATTATGGAGTCCGCCGAGCACAGCGGGATTCCCGCCTGAATTGGAATTCTGATGACAGCCGGCTTCGAGGTCATCTGGTCTGAAAAGTCTGAAAGAGCCGTCCAAAAACAGTTGTCAGATTTGTCGATGGAGCTCCAGATCGAGTTAGCGACACAGTTCCCCCGCGTGGGCTTGAGGGGGGGGGGGGTGGTGGGTGGACAACTGGAGAAAGTTCGGGACGCCGGGGGGGGGGATGCCGCTGGAAGTCTGGGACAAGCCCTGGGGCACGCGTGGGGGGCGCTGATCGGACCCGCCCAACGCCCTGTCAGTTTGGCAAAAGAGGGTCCGGGATGCTGCAATTTGCATCCGCATGCTCTGTACACTGCCGCACCGAGGCAGCCCGCGCTCTTCGGCACCTCTTGATCATTCTCAGGCCATTTACTTGAGGCTTCCATACTTCGAATCCCGCTAGCCGGCAACTCTTTGTCAGGCTGGCTAATATGGCCCCACGTCGGTGGTTCCACGACAAAACAAACACCGGGAAAAAGAGATTTCGAGACAGCCATCGAGGTTCCGGACGTGACAGCTCATCTCAGTGATCCAGGGCGGGGGTGTCGGTGGGCGTGTTCCGTGGTATTGTTGTGACTGGTATGACGGTTCACCGTCCAGCCAAGGCTGCCAAATCCCGTGCTTTCGTGCCCAGACAACAAGCGGTGAGCTATTTTATGCAGCAATTCTCCCGGTTGAGCCCCTGCAGATGGGAAATGTTGGGGCGGGATTTGGTCAGCTGAGAGGGTTACCGACTGCCTCGTAACATTCACGCCCCCTGGGCCGCCCTCTTGTGTGCCCATGACGTTGGCTCAAGCTCTTTTCCGAGTTTCGGAAGTTGAATTGACAAGACATTCGGCAGTCCCAGCACCCATTCTTTGGATTCCCTACAGAGATCCGCCCCCCTCTTAATTGCCCCTTTCCTCCGTCTCAGGAGCTCCGAGTCCCTTCGAGATAAGATAAACAACAACACCAACATCAAAGGACCTCCGCCGTCTCACCCTCCCTCCATCCGAACCTCCCGCCAAGATGAGAAAAGAAGCGACGATATTGCGTCCCACGCACAATGGCGACCGCTACGAGCTCACCAGTCCTACTGTCATGCCCAAGGCAGCTGGCTTCCTGTGGAACCAGAAGATGATGGTCCAGATCACCTGCCGTGGATATGCCACCGCTCAGTTCATGCAGCCAGAGCCGGCCAAGTACGCCCATGCTCCGAATCTTGAGGCCAAAACCTTCATGCAGCCGGAGCCAAACTACTACGCCCATCACCCAGGTCGTTTTGTGTACATCAAGGACGAAGAGTCAGGGCACCTCTTCTCTGCCCCCCATGAGCCCGTTCGTACCGTTCCGGACCGATTCGTTTTCTCTACTGGCAAGAGCGACGTGGCCTGGGCAGTCGAGTCCAACGGCATCCGTGTCGAGATGGTGATGGGTCTGCCGACTCACGATGTGGCCGAGCTGTGGACCATCAAGGTGACCAATGTGTCTGGACGTCCGCGCAGGATCAGTGTTACTCCGTATTTTCCCATTGGCTACAAGTCCTGGATGAACCAGTCGGCCGAGTGGAACGAGGAGCTGGTCGGCATCGTCGCCAGCAGCGTGACTCCGTACCAAAAGGCGGCCGAGTACTTCAAGAACAAGTATCTCAAGGACAAGACATATTTCATCTGTGAGACGACGCCAGACTCATGGGAGGCCAACCAACAAAACTTCGAGGGTGAAGGTGGGCTCCACAACCCGTCAGGGCTGCAAGAGCCGCAGCTGAGCTGTGGTGACGCGCGCTACGAGACCCCGACAGCCGCCGTGCAGTACCGCTTGGCGCTTAAGGCGGGAGACGAGCGCGAGTACCGCTTCATGTTTGGCCCCGCCTATGACGAAGCCGAGATCCGGACCATGCGCACTCGCTATCTGAGCAAGCAAGCCTTTATTCGCACCGCTGACGAGTATGCTTCTTACATGGCTCGCGGCCAGGGCTGCCTCCGCATCGAGACTCCGGACAAGGATCTGGACAACTTTGTCAACAACTGGCTCCCTCGCCAGGTCTACTACCATGGCGACGTCAACCGCCTCACCACCGACCCGCAGACGCGCAACTACCTCCAGGACAACATGGGCATGAACTTCATCAAGCCAGAGGTCACCAGGAAGGCTTTCATCACTGCCGTCTCACAGCAGGAAGAGAGCGGCGCCATGCCCGATGGCATTCTTCTGGCCGAGGGTGCTGAACTCAAGTACATCAACCAGATCCCCCACACCGATCACTGTGTCTGGCTGCCCGTGACCCTCGAGGTGTACTTGGCCGAGACTGGCGATTATGGTTTGCTCCAGGAGAAAGTCCGCAGCTCCAACGGCGACGAGTTCACCGTCTTTGAGAGGTTCAGCCGTGCCATGGATTGGCTCCTGAGGTTACGTGACGAACGCGGTCTCAGCTACATTGCCCAAGGCGACTGGTGTGATCCCATGAATATGGTCGGCTACAAGGGCAGGGGTGTTTCCGGCTGGCTCACCTTGGCGACGGCCTTTGCCGCGAACCTCTGGGCCAACGTTTGCGAGCACGAAGGCAGGACCGACCTTGCCCAGCGCTACCGAGCGGGTGCCGCGGCGTGCAACGAGGCGGCCAACAAGCACCTGTGGGACGGCGACTGGTTTGCTCGTGGTATCACTGACGACAACGTCACCTTTGGTATCAAGAAGGACCCCGAGGGTCGCATCTGGCTCAACCCCCAGACCTTTGCCATCCTCAGTGGCGCCGCCGGCAAGGAGCAAATATCCAGGATTCTGCCTCAGGTCGACGAGCATCTCAACACCCCATACGGCATTCAAATGTTTGCCCCGCCTTTCACCAAGATGCGCGAGGATATCGGCCGTGTGACCCAAAAGGCCATTGGCTCGGCCGAGAACGCCGCCGTGTACAACCACGCCGGTGTCTTTTTCGTCCACAGCCTGTACAGCCTCGGAGGCGAACAGGACAGGGCCTACACTTTGCTGCGGCAGCTCATTCCGGGGCCGAGCGATGCCGACTATCGCCAGCGTGGCCAGCTCCCGATTTACATCCCCAACTACTACCGTGGCGCTTGGAAGGAGTTCCCGCGGACAGCTGGCCGCTCCAGCCAGCTGTTCAACACGGGCACGGTATCCTGGGTGTACCGCTGCTTCATCGAAGGCCTGTGCGGTCTTCGCGGCGACGACAAGGGCTTGACCGTCAAGCCTCAGCTCCCAAGTGCCTGGAACTCGATCAGGGTGACCCGCCAATTCCGCGGTGCCACCTTCCACCTCGACATTCGCCGTGCCGATGTCGACCAGGTCACCGTTAGGCAGGGAGGCCAAACCCTTCCAGAGGCTCGCATCACCAACATCAGGGCTGGCCAGACCTACCAGCTCGCGGTCTTGGTTCCGCAGTAAGCTGGAAGTCTTCCAGCGATGATATGACTTTGGATGTTCAAAATTGGATGGAATGACAGGGTACATGAAATAATATTCGCGATCTTGGTTTTTTTCTTGTGTTCATTTGTTACATTCTCATGAAGGGTATGGAGAGGGAGAAACAAAACAAACATTTCATGACATGGCTGGGAAATGTCAGGCATCAGCAGCACAGGTGATGGCATGATGGGTCGGGTCGGGTCGGGTGGACTTTTGTGGAATTTCGGTCGCAATTTCTCTCGGACGGCTACGGCTATCTTTCATATATTCCTTTCATGCTTTTAGACAACAAATATCGGACACAGACACAGACACAGCACGCCTCTTGCGAGGTGGTTCACAGCAACATCCCAACAAACACTTCGGAACATGATGGGAAACGCCTTCGCCCTTCCTATCCCCAACAGCCATGTCATTTGCCTTCGAAACTACAGACATCGTTCGCGAAACTCAACTTAGCATTTCATCGGATTTTGGGAGGCACGTTTGTGTTTTTTCTTTTTTCTTTTCTGCGTTACCGGGAATCGTTTGGTTGTGTTGAAGACAAACCAATCAGTTGGGAGGGAGGCTTTTTGTCGAATCTGGATCTGCGTTTATACTTTTGACAACTTCAGCATATTTCTCATGTGGCTAATAAAGCCACATGAAAGCTATAATAACATTTTGTTGCGCTCTCTCATTGGCTATCACATTCCAACCACCATACCATGCAAGCCTGCGCCATCTTCGCAATCGCATTGGCTCGTCAGGTATCTTGGCATTCCTTCGACTGGGGGTGTTACATCGCGCCCACTGGGCCCAACCGGCCTCAATGACATCACCACTGGGCGCCCATTCAAGCAGGCACAGGAACAGGAAAATGTTGGCTGACTTTTTAAAAGCGGTAATCAGTCCCCACCATCTCCTCGTCCCTTTTGCTGATCAGGTTCATCCATCTCACTCACGAAATCACATACCCAAGCAGCGAATTCTCGTCGTCTTTCAGGACAGACATCACCAACCATGGCGCCACCAATCGCACCCGCGGCACAAAACCAAATCCGCCAAGTCAACGTCCGCCAGGTCGCGACAGTCACCGTCTGGGGTCCCATCCCGACTGACCTCCCTGACCCCACGGTTCAGGTCCTGCAAGAGACTCAGACAATCTACATCGCTCCCACCACCACCAACACCGAGGCAGTGGTTGTTGCTGGTGGGGGCGGTGGTTTGAACGGAGGCGAGATCGCCGGCATCGTCATCGGAACTCTCGTCGCGGTTATTCTCATTATTTGGCTCATCAAGTATCTGTCCCAGAGGAACAGGCAGCCGAGCTATTACCATGAGGAGAAAGTGAGGAGCGGGAGTAGGCACGGTCATCATCATCACCACCACCATCATGGACGTGGCAGGTCGAGGAGCAGCCGGAGCAGGAGCCGGAGTATTGAGGTTAGGGAAGTGAGTCGCCCTGCGAGGGTGTACAGCACCAGGTCCAGGTCCAGGTCCAGGTATTAGCAGGGGAAGTGGAGTTTGAGGTATGTCTTTTTTTTCTTTTGGTTCAACATGACATCGTGAGACTTGATCCTGACAACCACCAGACAGCAAAGGACATATGAATGACGGTCAAGATTTACGAGCAAACATGATACCTTTCCCCATACTTGTACATAACATATCTACTACACTAACCACACCTTTCTCATCTACCGTTTCTCATCTACTGAATCTCAATCTTCCTCCCGCCCTTGGCAACCTCCTGCTTCGGCACCACAACCTTCAAAATCCCATCCTCCAAGCTAGCCCCAATATCAAACTCCTGCAGCGGCCCCGGAAAGGCAAACTCCCTGCTGAAATCCCCAACGAACCTCTCCTTCAACAGATACCGAATCGTCTCACTCCCATCCTTCTTCCCCTCTGCCTTGGCCGCCCCCTCCCCTTCATGCTTGGGACAGGTATCCATCCCACAGACATTGCAATGCTTCCCCTGTGTACACTCACACTTGGCCTTGTCACACTCCTCACACGGCTTACCAGGCCCGCAGTCACAATCGTCGCACTTCTCGCCAGTGACGGTGACGGGCTTAGCCTTGGTTTTGTTGGAGGGGGTGGTGTCGTAGGGGCGCTCGACGTGGCCCCGGATGAGGAGGACGTTTTCCTGGGTTAGTTCAATGTGGATGTCGGAGCGGGACATGCCGGGGACTTCGCCGTAGATTTCGTAGGATTTGGGGGTCTCACGGATGTCTGAGTTGTGGGACGGGTTAACAAGAGTGCTTGGGGGATGTGGTAGAGGTACCTACCGAAGCGGGGGCGGGGGCCGCGGCGGTGACGGCCTCCGCGTGAGGCAGGGGCTGGGGTGGAGGCTGATTCATCTTGGACTTCGCGGGAGTATGGTATCGAAATCGTCGAAGAGGCGGAATAGGGTGAGTGAAGTTAGGTGTCAGGTAGAGAGTAGAAGGATCTGCGGGGAAGTGATGAAAACCATTTTGGCTGTTTATTAGGGGTCCAGTGGAGGATGAAGCTTTGATGGCGGTGGCTTTTTTGTGGTGATGGTTTGTGAACAGGCGCAGAAGTTACCTATGTTCCAGGTTGTGATGCGATGAACTGTGTCTGGAAACAATGGGAACACGAGCAGGAGGAGAGAGTTTTAAGGGGCCTGGCACAGGGCATCATGGCATCATCTCAATGTGACTACAACGTCATGCCGATGTCGTGGTGACTTCATAGGCCCCTAATAGGTAGCGCCTACTTCCCGAGTCGTGCTCGATTTGAGTTGGAGTCTTCCCGGTGTTTTTGGTGGTGCAAGGTTGGCCACGAGCCAACTCAAAAAAGCCCACTTCGGCCCGGTTCAGTCATCAAACATATTCTGTTCATGAAAGTGCGGGTTTCAAAATATGAGCAAGTTGGAGGATTGCAAGGCTTTGGCTGAATTCCTTTGCTTTCTTGACCGACTCTGGTGCCTTTCTTTTTCTGCCAACACATGCTGAATTGAGATCTACCATGTTGCAGGCCGTCCTGTAGGGTATGTCTTGGGAAGGGAGAGCTCGCTATCCATTTCCATTTGAGGCTTCAAAGTAGAGGTTGGAGAATCCTGATTGGAGGATTTTTGTCCGCAAGCGACCCTGCATTCGTGCCGTCTTGCAACGAGACCTGCTCATCCTTGGTATCGACCCAATTGCTTCTCTATTATCAATAGATCCCCCGCCAGTCATCCGAAACAACTTCACCAAAAGGAGAAATAAACGTCCGACGGGTGCGGGAGCTCCCGCGTCTTTGGAGCCCCTTGCACGGTGAGATCCTCGTGGCCTCGATCTTGGCTATATGTCTGTGAGAAACCAACGTCCAAGCGCACGGCATACTCGACACCGCTCATCACTCAGCAGCCACGAGCACAACGCCAAATCTGGTCAAGGGCACATGTGTCTGCACGTGTCGTTTCTCAAGGGACCAGCCAGAATGTCTGGAAGCAATTGAAACCGGTCCGACATGAGATGTCAAAGTGTCAAGTAAGCCTTCTGTGAGCTGAATGTCGCAATTACAGCGACTGGATAGAGACGTCGATCACTTGACAGTCCAGCAAAGGGAGCAACGTCGATATACCATCCATCCAAGGCACAGAGATGTGTATATAAGACCTCTTCCTCTCCTCTCATCCAGAATCCTTTTCCTCATCAGCATCCAACACATTCACAAACAAACACCCTCACACAAACTTCCCTCACTCTCACCACAACTCTCTAACGCTTTTCCAAAGCCCAACCACCAACCCAAATTTCAAAATGCAGTTCACCACCATCGCTCTTATGCTCTTCGCCACCTTGGCTTTGGCCGCTCCTACTCCCCAGAACGACGATATCCTCAACAACAACGATGTCTCGGTCGACGATGTCACCGTCCTTGTCCCTGTGGCCGCCGGTATCCCAGTCGTTTCCAACGTCTTGGGCGAGACCATTGGCAACTCCGCCACCAACCCCATCGCTGCTGTCTAAAGCCCTCCCGCGATGATACCAACAAGTCCCGTGTCTCCCCCCAAGCCTTTCGAGTTGCAAGGTACATTTGGGAGCGAGACCAGCAGACGCCTGGGATATAAACTGGGGATTGTGATGGATAATAATGTGGAGGATGATGGGTCATTGTACGATGGAGGTGTCTCGAAAAGTGGATAGAGATGGGATATGAACTCTGGTCCTGTAATATGCTTCAATCTGGTCTCGGCAATATATTCGACAACCGGCGCGTTTTCTCAGCATTGTTGGGGGTGGATTGAAACTTTTATTTGGGGGAATCTTTATGTAGCTTTGACAATATTTACACACTCATTTGACGTAAAGCTTGTCCGATGACTTGGTGATATGTTGGTGACCATCGAGATGGTTACCAGATGGGAACCCCTGTCCTTGGGACGCACTGTAGCCTTGAGTCAGCTCTGGCCTGAAAAGAAGGACGGGGCTATTGGGGATTTACCTGAGCGTAATAGGGATTGTAGATGGTGCAGGTTCCTACGGCACATGCTGTTGGACCGTTGAATCCCATGCCGCCGCTGTTTCTGTGTCAGTTGCCATCTACATCAATTCAAGTTCAAACAAATACAACTCACCACTGTGCCCACAAAGGCTGGCCGGCAACTGGCGCAGCGGTAGAAGTAGAAGTCACAAACGTGGTAGTCACCCTCGAGCTGGTGCTAGTAGCGCTAGGAGTCGTCACTCTCACACTGGTCGAGCTCGTGCTCGTCGTCGTAACCGGCGCCCCCGTCATCGAAACCACAACCGAGCTCGTCGTAGCACTAGGCTCAGCATCACACCACTCGCTATCCCCCCACCGGAAGCAATCCTCCCCCTTGCAAGCCAGCTCGAAGAAAGCCATCACCGTCGCCTCCTGCACCCGAATATCATGCGGCACCCCGGCAGCGCTATACCCCTCCAACCAACCCTCCGCACCATACACACTCTTCGTCCACCCGCTGATAGGAGTATTAGGAGTAACACTAACAGGTGTGATCCCAACCCCAAGCACCTCAGCCCACTGCTTAATCCCCTCCTGGTGGTTGACATAATCCAAAATCTCATCATTCGTCCCGTGGAACAACTGCAACTTTGGCCTCCACCCATCATACCCCGGGTAGGCGCTCTTGACCAAGTCGGCCCACTGAGCCGGAGTCTTGGTCACCCTCCCCTTGGCGCAATCATCGCTCCAGTAGCCAAAGGCGCCGGTGTTGTTCCCAGCAGGGGCGAAGCAGCCAAAGGGAACGCCAGCAAAGGCGGCACCGGCAGCGAACACATCGGGGTAAGATCCAAGCAACACCTGGGTCATCATGCCGCCGGAGGAGACACCGGTGACGAAGACGCGCTTGGGGTCGGCGTTGTACTTGTTGATTGTCCACTTGACCATGGAGACGACACCGAGGGAGTCGCCGCCGCCGTTGTGGGTGAGGGTTTCCTTGGAGGAGACATCCCAGCACTTGTCCGAGTTTGCTTGGGCGGGGGAGGACTGGGGGTAGATGACGATGAAGCCATGCTGGGAGGCGAGGGTGGCGTACTGGGAGCCGGAGAAGGCGGCGGGAGCGGTGCCGTGGCACCAGTGGGGGTTGACGAGGATGGCTGGGTTGGGGGGGAGGACGTCGGGGACGTAGATGTAGAAGGGGTTCTGGATCACTATCAGCACACTGCTTTTGTCATTGGAGAAAGACGACTTACGTTGCGGGGGTTAGGACCAAAGTTCTCCGTGACCAGCGTCAGCGAAGCCGCCGAGGCCAACGAGGCCAGCAGAGAAAGAACCGCGACAGTCTTCATCTTGGCGATGACCTGAGGTGAAGAAGAAAAGAAAAAGAAAAAAGGAAATGAAAGACGAAGATCATGATGCTATATCACTGCATTCCGCTACCATGAACATGGATGGATTGTCCGCCGGCCCGCAACTTCCAGGTTCAGCGCCAGTGCTCGGAGGGAGCATTGCCGAGATGCCCCGTTTGGTGTTTTGAGCGACGACGTTGCACACGGGGGTCTGGCGAGCCTTGGGGGGACGGAAGCGACCGCTCCAACGGTCGGAATAGAGTCAAAGATCTTGGCGGGCACGTTGAGGTGGGAATAAGCTTTCTATGGTGCGGGTCTTTGCCGTAACAACAGTATCGGGATATGTATAATTAAATGCGTACCTTGGGCTACCTACACACTTTGTGACTTCTGTTCATGACCCTCATCTCTTGAATTGTGTGGAATGATGAGTTGCTGAAACGCGAAAACTGCAAAAGCAAATGACCGCAGATGGCGGCAGCTGCCTGCAAATGCACGTCCACACACGTCCAACTTCATGATGGATGTGCTGTGGCGCGACCTCCAACACCTTCACGAGGCATAGTGCCAGGCTGCTGGTGCACAGCCACCACCGAATGCGCATTCTGCCACCTCACCACCACCGTGTTTTCACCGCCAAACAATGAGATGCCCGCTTTCTCAGGTTGAGCCACCTCAGCACTTTTGCGCCAGCAGCAATCTCTGCTCTGCGTTCTTCGAACTTCTGGTCTACCATGGAGCCAGTCGCCGTACTAGCCGTGGCAGGCAATGTGCTGCAGTTTCTGGAGTTCACTTGGAAGCTTTTCAGCAATGCTGGAAAGATCCTAGCGTCATCTGGAAGTTCTAGCGAGGAAAGTGCTCACCTTGATCATATTTGTCGAACACTGCAAGATTTCACGACTCAACTAAAACGCGACACCTCTTCTAATTATTCCACAAGGAAATGGGAGCCTATGCTCACACGTGCCGACGCGTGCGAGAGGGACTGCGAGAAGCTTTTGGCCATCACGACAAAGCTAAGGGCGAAGACGCAGAACGGCAAAGCGTCGAAGTGCTGGGCCAGTTTCAAGATCGCCATTGCAGAGGTGTGGAAGGCGAATGAGATTGAAGCTTTGATTTCACGGATCTCCGATCATAGGAGCGGCATCATTCTTGAGCTATGTGCTACGACAAGGTTGGCCAGTCCTCCATCATAGGTACTTATACTATTGCTCAGGCCTTGTAGCTGACATTCTCCGACTGTGCAGTGAAGTGGTCCAACGGATGCAGTCCGACCTTCGACAATGGGAGGCTTTCAACTCTCTAAGACACAAAGAGATACTTAATACACTGCAACCCTTGACAAAATTGGTACAAGGACCCCAAGGCTGCCCCAACACTCAACTTCAAGACCTGAACCAACTCTGCATCGATCTTCCGGCCTTGTCACTGGATACTCGACAATACGTACTTGAGGCCACTGTGTTGAAGTCTCTACATTATCCTGAATTGTCACTCAGGCATGACATAATACCAGAGCCACACGCAGTCACTCTTCACTGGGCATTCCCACCATCTCAAGGCAGCAACATGGACGCCATTGGTGGCATTTGCAGTTGGTTATCAGGGTCCGGAGGACTGTTCTGGGTGTCTGGAAAACCTGGTTCTGGCAAGTCGACCTTTATAAAATTCATTGCCGACAATACCAACACTCAAAAGCTGTTGACCCAGTGGTCTAAGGGCCAAGAGGTCATTCTGGCAGCACATTACTTCACAATCTACGGTACTCCAATCCAGCGGTCTTTGGAGGGCTTGTTTCGGTCCCTTATTTACAAGATCCTATCCCAAGAACCGACTCTCATTCGAAAGGTGTTGCCACAGCGGTACAAGAACGAGAAGATTCAGGAACCTTGGAAGCAATCCGAACTTCAGTCTGTCCTGAAGAAACTTGCTCGAGAACTTGTGCATTCCAGACTCTGCTTCTTCATAGACGGCCTGGATGAATATGCAGGAGATCATTTGGATATCTGCGAGACCCTCCAAGACCTCTCCCGCTCACCATGTGTCAAGCTTTGTGTTTCCAGCCGACCGTGGAACGTTTTCGAGAATGCGCTAGGAGGGGACACAGACTCGAAGCTGTACATGCAGGATGTCACCCGAGCCGACATACAACAATATACGAAGACCATGCTACGGTCTCACCCTCGTTGGGACAGCCTTGTCTCCGAGGCCGGCAGCGACAAAGCAGACTCCCTGGTTCAGCAGATCATCGACAAATCAAGCGGGGTGTTTCTTTGGGTGACGCTTGTGACTAGGCTTCTCCGCGAGGGCCTTACCAACGACGACAGTATTCAAGATCTGAATAGACGTCTTGAAAGCTTTCCTAGCGAGTTGGAACCGTTTTTCAGGCTCATACTTGACTCGGTAGACCCTTTCTACCGAGATCGAATGGCGAGAGCACTTCTTTTTGCTTTGCATGCGCAAAAGCCCCTTCATATACAGATGTACATGTTCCACGACAGAGAGTACGAGGAAGAAGATTATGCCCTCGGCGAGCCAGAGAGGATGATAGCTACCCTACAGCAACGAACATCTCAGGCAGCCCGTGTCTTTCGGCGCGTGAACGGCTGGTGTAAGGGTTTGCTAGAACGCAATCATGATCAGATTGAGTTTCTCCACCGAACTCTTTATGACTTTCTCGCCACCCCCGAGATGCAGCAAACGCTGAAAGAAAAGGCAAAAACCAACAATACCGATTTCTGCCCGCTTCTCTCTCTTCTGAGAGCTTCAATAGCCCACACAAAACGGTCTCGCTGGCTTCAGCCGCCTGCATTCACTTCCTACGTAAAGGCCCCGAAAGCCGAAGATCCACTGGTTGCCCTAACCCCTTTCGCCAAGATGGTAAAGGATATGATGGACTATGCTAGGAGGTTGGAATCTATGGGCGGAGAGACCCTCCTTTCCACTACCACCTTACTGGACAACATGGACATGAGCATTGGCACAGTGGAGGCGAATGGTGAAGTGCGTGATACCAAAACCATCGCAATAGCACGCGTGTTATATCGCTACCACGTCCTGGGAGCTGGTTTGGCGCGGTATTTAGCCACAAAGCTGCCTAGCACCACCTACTTTGATAGGTCGTCGTTCGCTCTATTCATATGCCAATCTCCACTGTCGGTTATTTTTGAACGTTCGCCCTCCAGCAAGGAGGCTTTTGGGTGGGTTGCTAAAGCTATCATGGATTCCGGGTACAGCCCCAACGACTCCTTTCTTCCAAGTGAGGGTGGGCGAGAGATGGAGTGCAATATTCTCTCCGCAATGTGTACCATCACACACTACACACGAATTTTCTCTCTTCGCCAGGGCACACCATGGCAACAATTGGTCGAAATGACAACTTCAATGGTCCTTGGGAATGAAAACACGTCATCGCCTCCAAAAACATTGTCAGACTTCATGACAGCTTTGGAATACGATGCATTTCTTCTTCTACTTGGATATGGTGCAAATGTTAACAGTCTGGCCCTTATTAAGGTCGAAGGAGAAACGTTCACGATCCCCATATGGCTAAATTTCTTGCTCTACGCGGTTTACCTTCCTTTTTTCTCGAAACATACGACAGCTTATGAGACAACCCTAGATCACATGTTGAAGGCGGCCGAGCCAGAGACTTGGTCACAAAATCTCCGAGGTGCCGACCATCAACACAATGTTCCACAACTCATCAAGGACTTGGCTGGTGGCCGTATGGTGCTTCAAACATTTGCAAAGTCACTCTCTAGACTGACTCGAGTTGAAAGAGGTAAATTTGCTGGTGGTGGAGATTTGGTTGTCAGAATATTGCCCGAAAGCCTCAACAAGGAGGCTTTCGCCTTGTTGGAACCACTGGGTCTCAATGTTGTGATGGTGGAGGAGCTCCGGCGTGATTATGAGAACATGATACCTGCGAGAGGTGCCAAGCGGGGTTTGTCGGTAGCAAAGTTTGCGACTGATGATGTTCGTGACTGGAAAATAGCCAAGCGACTTTAACGGCGAATATGCGGCAAGGATGACCCTAGCACTAATTGCGATGGCAATAACATGTATTTGCTGAGCACATAACGATGGAGATATAATGTCACTCATATGCCGTGTCACTTTACATCCAGTGCCATCGAGCTTTTACACCATAGAGTCCGGTGCCACAAAACGATCACAGCCCAGGCTGTTGGCAGAACCCAACTACTCAAAGCGACCCGGGTACCTGGTACCTGAGGAAAGACATTGATTGAGGTAAACGCCGGGAGCAAGCGAATATTCAAGAGACTGTACGACTGTGAGCATCATGTAGGCGGAGCCAATGCCAATAAACTTTTCGGAAAAGCTGTAGGCATATCAGCTCACACAATCTCCTCAAACAAAGCTCGCCTCATCCCCTTCCTCGGCCTCCACTTCTCCCCCCATCCACACTCTGCGCACCATTCCGGCTACACAAACGTCTTACCGTCGATAGCATCTTGATCCAGATTCCGAGTCACCAAACTGTACCATTCCACATCATGCGGCGACCGGCACCCTCCAAGCTTATGCCACCGGCTGATCTCAACCGCCCAGGTCTCACCCCAAGACCGACGGATCCTGCAGAATGACGATGACCTCTCCCGCAACTTTGTATCTAGACGATAATCCGTAGAGCAGACCTTGCAGGATCGAATCCTCCCCGGCATTTCACGCACCTCATCGAGCGAATCACCATCCCAAACCAACTCGGGAATGACGGGTGCCTGCCCGTCCGCGTACCCAGAAGGTGACAGGAGGTGAGGACACACCAGAAGGCGGTCGATGAAGGTCATAAGCACTCTCAATTTTCTGAAGCCTCCCTCCTCACTCAGACTTTTGGTGCACCATGCGCCCGTGTAGATAAAGGCTATCGTTGATGATTTTGGCTCGCTCCATGAGCGCGTAATGCTGGTTCCGAAAATCACGTCCTGTGTTGAGTTTGTCACCGCCACGTCTTTTACGGATGGGCCGTGGGCCGAGCCATAAAGGTGTCGGTTCGTGACTATGCGTGCCAGGGAGTACGTGAGGTTCATCCCCATATTCTGCAACATGGCTGCTCATATGATGAGGAAGTGCCGGATTCTCCAAGCAGGGCCCACTGTCAACCCGCATGCCATATTCAGTATGCGTCAGACGCCACGTGTGAAGACGGATGCAATCATGGCAAAAGTAAAGTCTTGGGTGATCTCGCTCGAGGTACTGTAGGAATGTTGTTTTTGCCGTGTCGGAGAGGGGTGCTGGCCTGGGGAAATACCTGACGAACAGTGCGCGGCAGGTCAAAGCGAAACAGAGGACGCATTCCAAGGATAAGTGATGGAGGATTATATCGATCAGTTCAGCGGGGAGCCGTAGCGTACACGCTTTGTGCTTTGATGGGCCGCCCGGGATTGCTGGAAGAAGTCGCTGGATACGGAGAAGAAGGACATCCATTTGGTGAGATGTAATCTGGTAAATTGCTTTGTGGGTGTGCACTGGATGACCCGAAAGTCAAAAAGTCTGCCAGCCCCGCCTTTTTCAGAAGCGAATGCTGCCTCTACAAGCACAACGTGCCAGAGACGTCACGCACCCGGGGATCTAGCACAGAGTAAATACCTCCTCCTCCAGCCCCTTATCCATCATCTCCCCGTCCATCACGCCGTAAATATACGCCTCCCCGACAAGATAATACTCGCCCCGAGTCCCCGTAGATCTCAGCACAAACGGGGTCGACCCGCCATACAAGAGCACAACGATGTCCTCCGCCATTGTCTCCATCGGACCCAGCCCAACATAACCAGCCGTCAAAAGGATAGGACGCGCACCATTCTCATACCGCATCGTGGCCTGATAAGACATGGTTTCCGCCGTAACCTTCTCGTCATCCACCGGTTGGGTGCGTAACAGTTCAAACTGCCTGCCTGATCGTTCGAGGGTAGCCCGCTGAAAGTACATAGATGTAGGGTGGTACTCCCTGTCGCAGATGGGAATGCGCCATAACGCATCGTCCCACTGGTCCTTTGTATACTTTGATGTCCGCTCGAGGAACGCCTTGACGTTAAGAAACAACTGGCGAGCGGCTTCCTGGGGATATTTCATCCCGTCGTTGTGGACAAAGACACTGCCAACCGCCGCAGCAGTGTCAAGACAAACACCATGCAGTCGAAGCGAGGCGGGCCGCGGGCCATTCATCTCGTGAACTAAAGTTGTCGGTTGGGACTTGGACCCTGTTGCTTTGAATAACGGGACGCCCATATCGTCAGACCACGTGTACGGGAGATTGGCATCGAAGTCGGGGACCCATGTCGGTGGGTTGACCCGTCGTGTGCGACACCACTTGAGGATATCGACATGGCCTTGGGCGATGAGGAACCTTGCTGCTTGTTCGAAAGCTTCGTCGGGTGTCTTGGTGTAGTCTGTGTAAATTCCCGATTCAACTGCGTCTGCCGCGATACCAAGCAGGGCGTAGATCTTGTCCAAGGGTTTCGTGGACCGCAGGCCGAGAGCACCGTTCCTCACGTATGAAGTGTGGATGAGTTCGAATAGAGGCTTCTTGCCACCTTCACGTAGGAACTTGCGCCGGCCTGAGAAGGCTGATCCGGCGGCGGGGTCCGTGGTCGTTTGTTTTAAGAGGGCCCAAGGGCCGTCTGGCGCAGCCATCAGTTCCTCTATGGAGAAGGGTCCCGGAATTCGAGCATGTCGACCGGCTCTGTACTCGTTGGTTTCCCAGACAATCAGCAGGCCATAGAACAGAAGAGAGGCGTGGAATGACTCGGCATCGGTTTGCTTGAAGCCACAAAGGACCATGGAATTGCGCGCAAGCGTAATTTCCTGCTTGATCCAGACGCGATTGAAATACTCCCGACGAGTAATCGCAGCAAATGCAAGACGTGGGAACCGCTCAGCAGCACGGTCTGCATCACCCTCGGCTGCGTTCGCCTTGACCATGAGCTCCACCACTGCATCCCTTGCGCGCATATTGGCAGGGTCGTCACCCACATCTGGCCAAGTCTCGAGGAGTTCCTTCTTGATGTCAAGCAGACCGGCATCCACGGCCGCCTTCCCATAGTTGGAAATGCCGTCTATGGCAGCATCACTGTTGTCAGCAGAGGGGCCAAGCCAGGACAGCACCTTGGTGGCACGTTCATAGATGGACCCCATTCGTGAAACCTGGCGCGACTTTTCCTCGTCATCTCCCTGGTTGATACACACTGCGTCGATCCAAATGTTGGTCCCGATGAAGGCATCGAGGTGTTGAAAGCATACGGTCAGGTTGCGTGCGATATCGATGTATCGCCCATGAGGCTCGACAATGACGCGAGAGAACGGTGTGTCTTTGCCCCAGAGATAGGATAATGCCGCGTAGATGGGGGGGGGGTCGGTGTCGAGAGGGACAACATCGATGCGGACGCGTATCTCGGGGGAAACAGAGAGAATATGAAGGAGGCGGATGTGTCCGGTTTCGAGATATGAATATTCGTATCGGGTGCTCATATTTTCAAAAGCAAAATCTTGTAGTAGCTCAGTTACTGGCTTTCGATGTCGAGGTTGATTTGGATAGAAGAGAAATGGAAAGGGTCACTGTCGCCTCGAGCAGTGTGATTCAGAGATGCCAAGACCAGCTGAAAACTCGTTGCGCATGCTCACAAGCCACAAAATACCTTTCAGAGGCGCAGTCGTCGAACTCAAGTCGGCATAGCTCGGGATGGCAAGCTCCCATTCCCTATCAGCCGTTCAGCTTAAAGACCATCCCAAAGATAAACTTCCAACCAAGCTTGAAAACACTTCTCCAAAGCTCTCCTATCCGATCTAGAATTACCCCAATCGTCCCTTTTGTTTCAGCGGGTTCGTATGGCTCATCCAAACGGAATGTCTGCCCTAACCGCCGGTTCACAAGGTCTGCCATCGAGGCCCTGTAATCGTCGCGGACTGTGATCGAACGTCTTGTGGTAAGCTCATCCAAGAGCATGAAACCGGTGGGGGCTCTGGTCGAAAGCATTCTAGACGCTCCACCGCGTACCACTGACCGAAGTTCCGTATAATAGGCAGTCATCGTTGCGTGGGACAGACCAAAGGTCGAGGTGCTCAGGGTAACGATCCTCAAAGGCACGCCGTCGGGCGGACTAAATTGAAGATGATGTATAAGCCAACGGAATTGGAAACATAATATAGATTTGACAAACGTGCCATGCTGGTAGCTGACCAGTGAGAGCCATGTTCGTAAAAAGACATTTTCGCGACGAGGTTGTTTGCGGTGTGAAGATTGAGGTGCCTCTTCTCTTGTTGCTGGAATGGCTTGAGGTGGGTTTGGTTGTAAAATGCAGCGTTTAAGAAAAGCCGCAAGGAGAGATTTCCGATGTTGTGGTAGAAACTTTGCAGAGTGAAGGTCGCTGCTGAAAGGTCAGGGCTATAGAGTTAATAACCTTCTGATATCTAGAAATGTGGGAACTGGTTCGACATCTCCCGTGATTGCCACGCTGGAGCCGGCCCCATACCAAATTTCACAGCTCACCATCAACCCCAGAAAGACATCGTCACTTTTCAACATGAACCAAGACACGCGGAAAAGTTACTTATATCATCTGACACAGAAGAGAAGCTGCTTAAGTCCTTATTACACCCTGACTGAAAATCACAGCCAAACCGATCCGATCCACCACTTAAATAGGTACGAGACACAACCGACAAAGGTTCAAAGTCCACACACAAACCCTCCCTATCCCCCATCACCCCCTCAAACCGGAATCTTGAACCCACCCGGCACCCTACTAGTAAAAACCCCGTTCGGATCATACTTCGTCCTCGCCGCCTGCAGAGCAGCCACATTCCCAGTCCCATACCCCGTAATCGGATCCTGCCAATCGGCCGCATAGTTCAGATACACCCACGGATCCGTCGCGCTCTTGGCCACCAACTCCGACGTAAGAGAATCGTACAACTCCCTCGCCTTTGTCCTTACAAAAGCATCATCGAGGGAACTCGCCCACGAAGCGAGCAGCTGGATGACAACCAAGGGCTGATTGCTGCGGCTGGGGGAGCTGAACCCGAGGGAGTTGGTGGTCGGGTTGCGGTTGTAGATGCTGGGGGGGAGGGGCTGGAAGGTCATGGTCCAGACGATGCCGGGGATGTTTTGGACCGAGGAGTGGGAGTCCCACCAGATTTGGTAGGCCGCGCCGAGGACTTGGAGGTTGCAGACTGCTGTTTGGGTCCACCAGAGATTGCTGAGGGAGGATTAGTGAATGATGGGGTTGGGAGTTGGAATGGAGCGGGGGGAAACATACCGGCTGCTACCTGGAATGCTGGCTCCTGCTTCGACAGTTATGTTTCTCATGGAGTTCACCCTGGCGTAGTTGGTTGTGACCCATGGGATGCTCAAAAAGTCAGAGAACGCAGCGGGTGGCGACGACGAAGGGGGTCCAGTGTACGCCATCTGAGTTGAGATGGTATGGCTGATCCCGTAGTAGTAGACAAGACTGGTGATGAGGGAGGCATTCTCGTCGTATCCAGTGGCCTTGTTGAAGTCGATGAATGCCAAGAGGTGGTTGTGAAGTGTCGTGGTAGGGTGCATCATGGTTCCTCCCCACATTAGCCCCTGGGCGTGTGTCTTCATCGTCACGCGGGTGACGATGCCCAGATTGTTGCCACCTCCGCGAAGAGCACGCAGCAGGTCAGAGTTCTGGGTGGCTGTGGCCTCAACCAATGTGCCGTTGGCCAAGACGACTTCGTACTTGGAGACAGTATCAGCAGCGAAGCCAACCTTTGGTGAGAGGAAGGACAGTCCTCCGCCGACGATGTAGCCACCAACACCCACGCTCGCGATTCTTCCGCCAGCAACGGTCAGGCCCAAGGGGTCTAGCTGAGCGTAGACCTCTCCCCAGGTCAAGCCCACACCCAAACGCACGTCTGCGTTTCCATTGACAAGAGTGATCTCGTTGAGGTCTCTTAGATCAAGGGTAACACCACCGGCGATGTTGGAGGCTTGGGCATGGAACATGTGTCCTCCTGACCGAACAGCAAAGCGACATGCCGGATTGGCAGAATTGGCTGCGAGAATAGTCACGGCGGTGGAAACATCGGCAGCTGATGCTGGCTGCACAATGCAGTCCGGCTGTGTCTGAGATGTTTGCAGAGAATAGTAGGACGACAACGATGATGTGTACCGGAAGTTCCCCGGAGCAGAGACCTTGGAGCTTCCGAGAGCAGCCAAAATGGCCGCACACTGTTGTGGTTGTTAGATCAGCATTCACAAGACAGCTTGAGGGTTGGACAAGACGTACACAAGTGGAGAGAGACATGACTGCGTGACAGAAAGCGAAGGAGGGCTTGTCGCTTATCTCGAGTAATGTCGGTGGTTATCAAACTCATCTGAGCGACTTCGTGCCGGGTATATATAGGTAGGCAGCTCAGGAACACGGCAACTCGGCGTCTGGGTGGGAACTTTTGTCCCATCAATTTTGATATGATCACAAGGTCCCTACCTGTAACTTTTGATGCCGATATGTGTGGTCGTGCCGTACTCATACGTTAACGAGCCCAGCCTTGGGCAAACCGCGTAATTAGATGACAGCCATCATACGACCAACATTCTGGAACTAGTAGCGCGTGGTATAAGTTGCAACCACTAACTCTCGGCCTTGGATCAGCCTCCCAGACGCGCACGCGGCACAGGTGATGTGACGGAAAGGATGAGAAGACCCTCGCAGTCCGTAAGCCCTTGTTTAGCATCAAAAGAGCTGCATTTTTGCTCATCTTAACACGGACGTTAGTGTGGACTGTTGGTTGTCCAAGAGCCCCAACACAAGTTCATGGCGTCGACGAGCAAGGGTTTACACCGAGTTGGGGGCCGTGACGCCGTGCTGTTGCAGATGGCCCCTGAATGCGGCTCCACATCTCCGACTGCGCCGTTTTGTTGACGGCACTTATCTTCCAGGTTGGCGCCGGTCCGGTCCGGGGCTGGATCTCGGGTCGCTTACGTTGTGGGTCTCGATGCCGGGCGTAGGGGATGCGCTGCCGGTCGGTGTACATGAAACTGTCATGGAAAGCCGTTGAGGCAGAGCAACTGTGGCGGTTAGGGCATGGAACCTACCCAACGTGTGTCCATCGACGCTTGAACAAGGTATGACGCCTCGTACGGAACACCCGGAAGGTATTTTACCTCGAGTTTCTCTTTTGACAACATTTCATCTTAAACCTCAGCACCGTCCTCAGCGTCTTTGACAATTGGACAATGGCGACACAAGGCCAGATCCAGAACATCCGCAAGGACCCATCCCAAACTGCATATCTTTCCGAGAGATTGCCAGATGAACTGCGCCGACGACGGCTCTGGGACCGGCCAGCGGTACATGTGTTGTCAGGCAAGGGAGGAAGACTCGTCTGGCCTCAGAGACGAAAGACTGAATCCATATCACGAGGAGAAATACCAGATGTTCCAGGTCTAGATCCTTGGCTTGGTGCAAGGCGTTGTTCAGAAGCAAAAGTGGTTGGATAGTCATCAAGGCCGCGAGTTATTCGATTATATACCGCAATCAACAGCGTCACAGATCAGCCAAGGCCGATGGCCAGACTCTCTCAGCAGTAGAGAGTCCTGGAATGACAGCAACCTATTGTTGGGCTAGTGACCTAGGAAAGTCATTGGCTGCGAAAATGAGGCCAAAATTGGCCAGAAAAAAAATAGTAAATAAATTGGTATTATAGTAGTTGGTTATTGGTTAAAAAGTAAACAGTAAGAAAATCCAGCCCCAAGAGCAAACCGGTGTGGGTCTGGGAAAACCTGGGCCCTTTAGTGCCCCACACCCCCCCACAGATAGCACACCGCCGTCCAAAATAAAGCTATTACTAATATCCTCCGAAGCCCAATATACGCTTAGATTCTTTCACTTCCTTTAACTCCTTTGCCCAATGCCCTAGTAGCCTTTTTCCTATATAAATATACGTTCTCCTATATATTTTAAACCGGAAAATCTCGTATTTTTAATAATTATATAAATTTTATATACTTTTCCCTTTATAATATTTTTATAAATCTATTTATTAATATCTCTAACTTAAAAATATATTAAATATTAAATTTTTTTTCTTTTACTTATTTATTTACTTACTTATATTATATATCGATATACTAAATCTTAATAATATTTTAAAGGTTTAAAACTATAATTTTAATATTTTTATTATTAATATATAATATATATAACTTTAATTATAATATATTATAATTTTCTAATATTTTTAATATTTATTATAATAAATACTTTATAAATATTAAATTAATAAACTTTATTTCCATTATATTTAAAGTAATAAAGGTTTATTTTTTACTTTTTTATAATATTAACCTACTAATTATAAAAATAATATAATTATTAATAAAATATTTTTAAAGTAAAATATTTATATATAAAGTATTTACGAATTTTATAAACTTTATATTTTTTATTAAAAATTTAAAATTTTTTAATATAATATATAGTTTTTTAATAATAATTAAGTACCGGAAAAAATATTTTATTAATTTTAAATAATATAATAAAAACTTAAAATTATTTTTATAAAAGCGGTTAACGGTAAAAGTAATATCGGGCCGAATACCGGTAAATAATTAATTTAATATACCGGTCTTCCGAATATATTTTTTTATTTTTATAATTATTTTTTTTTATATAAAAAAAAGTTTTAATTTAATTAATTATAATATAATTATATTAATTATATTTTTATAACCGAATTTCTTAAATAAAATATTAATATAAATTATTTAAAATAAATAAACTTATTTCTTTCCGCGGTTTTTTATAATATTAAAACTTAAAAACCTTTTTAATTTATTTAATTTTTTAATATTATATTTACTTTTTAGCCCGGTAATAATATTTTTAATAATTTTCGTTATAAACATTAATATAAATAAATTATTTATATATAGGATTATTAAAATATTTATTTTTTTATAATAAAATAAATAAAAATTTAATAAAAAAGTATCGAAATTTAATTTAATTATTATAAATTTTATTATTTTATATTAATAAATAAATAATTTTTTTAAACCGTATAATATTTTTTTAAATTAATATACTTTACTTAATAATTTATTTAAATTATTTAATAATTATATATAATATTATATAGTATTAAAGATTTTAGTATTAAAAAATATTATTTTAAAATTATATTAAAAATATTTTTAATTATTTATAATTATAATAATTTAAAAATATTTAATTATTATATTATTTATAATAGTAACGTAAATATTTTATATAACTTAAGAATCTCTATT